GTGGGATGGGATCCATGTCCAGCATCCATTCCTGTTTCCTCATCACCTTGGGTGCAATTCCTGCTGCATGTGTGCAGTTCCTTAGCTCTTCCCATCCTTTAGAGCTATTGGCTTACAAAAGCATCTTATTTTTTAAATATTTCACCTGTATTGGGATGTAGCTTAGAAGTTTGAATCAACTGTTGATGTAGATTGGATTGGGTTTTTTCTTAATCTTTTGATCATTGTTGTGATCAAAATATTTTCTTCAATCCCCAGAAGGGTGGCAGGGCTCCCTGGGGGTGTGAAATTCTGTTCAAGCATTTTGCCTTTTCAGGAGTTGTTGTGTGCTGACACGAAGAGGGGGCTGAACTGCCAAGTTGTCTTTGAAGTTTAATTGTGTGTTTGGCAACAGAGCACAGCATCTTCCCTTACAAATCTGGTTTTCTGTGGTAATTGGCTCCTTTGCTCGCTGGTTATCAATTGAACTTCTCTACCACAAACATCTGTACTTGCATTGTGTTCATGCTAAACACTGACATGGTTAAACCAGAAGAGTGTGTTTGAAAAGCATTTATTAATTCATTAACTGGGAAGTAATTGATAAAGTGAGCACTCCTCATGTTATTATCCCTTTGTGAACAGCTTGGCATTTGCTCATGAGCCAGAAAAGCAAAGTCACTTTGAAAAAATGGGGTGTTTCAAAGTCTTAATTTCCTAAATCAAAAGTAATTGAGAGTAGGTAGGAGAGTCTCTACTTCAACTTCCCCTTTTGTGTCAAGAAAATCCTGCCTCTTATGATTCAAAATTAATGCCTCTTTCTGGATGATGTCCCAAACTGGAGCAATATCAGTTGCCAAAGATATTTGAGTTCTTTCCAAATGTCTTCATTACAAGTTAAACATTAGTGGAGAACACAGAGTCAGAACTTTGCTGTGGTACAGTTTGGGCATTCAGTCCTTCCCTGGCAGGGTGGGCAGGCCCTGGCACAGCTGGGGCTGCCCCTGCATCCCTGGCAGTGCCCAAGGCCAGCTTGGATGGGGCCTGGAGCAGCCTGGGACAGGGAAAGGTGTCCCTGCCATGGCAGGGATGAAATGATCTTCAAGGAACTGTCCAGCCCAAACCAGGCTGGGATTCCATGCTGGTTTTTTTCACATAAGTTTTTGTGCTTTTGGCAGTCACTGATACTGGCTTGTGTCTCTTTGTGTTCCTCTGACAAGATTAATGTGTGGCTAAAGAATTCAAACTCACCTGTAATGAATGTTTTGGAAATGGAAGCATTGTACATTCATGGAAAAACAACTTTTGCAATTCTTGTATTCCCTTTTTTCAACCTTGCAGGCAGTGCAGGAATCAATCGTGCGTGTGAGTAGAGACAGAGATGGAAGGGAAATGAGAACATCAGAATTGATCAGCAGGGTGAACAAAATGAGGCATTTGTTAAAAAGGGCTCACCATGAGCAGCAGTGAGTGGCCCAGGCTGGCAGGGGCAGAGTGATGCCCTGGCTGAGGCATTGGCTGCAGTGCTGCCCTGGTGTTTATGCCATTTGTCAGGGCACTGCTGACACAGCTGAAATTCTGTCAGGACCCAGGACATTGCTCTGGCTGCCCTGGGTGATCCCAGATCCTGGCAGGGGGCTCAGAGACCTTGGCACAGAGTCAAACACACCTGTGCCTTGGATTTTAGCCCATGGAAACAATGACCAACTTTGGGTGAGATTTACAAGCCACAAGAGTTTGAGTAGAATGATAGTGAATTTGTCACAGGGTGAAAAAGTAGAATTTTGGGGTTTTAGAATGGGGGTTTGTGACCATGTTCACAGGGGTCCAAGGATGAGGGAGGAGATGAGGATCTGACTCCATGTTTCAGAAGGCTTGATTTATTATTTTATGATATATATTACATTAAAACTATACTAAAATAATAGAAGAAGGGATTTCTTCAGAAGGCTAGCTAAGAATAGAAAAAGAAGGAATGAATAACAAAAGCTTGTGTCTCAGAGTCTGAGCCAGCTGTGATTGGCCATTAATTGGAAACAACCACATGAGACCAATCACAGATGCACCTGTTGCATTCCACAGCAGCAGATAATCAATGTTTGCATTTTGTCCTTGAGGCCTCTCAGCTTCTCAGGAGGAAAAATCCTAAGGAAAGGATTTTCCATAAAAGATGTCTGTGACAGGGGTTCAGGAAGCAAGATGGAGGAATCTGGGCATGTCCTGTCCTCCTTCTCATCCTCCATCTTCTGCTGTGATGGCGACACTTTTGGATTGGTTTAGAGACAGAGTGTCTGACATAGGTGATAGGTATTGGAAAATTATTGTAAATAACGTACAGGTGGTTCTTAGTATAAAAAGGGAACACCACCCCAAGGGCAGGGACTGTGCCACAACCCAACCTGCCGGGCAGATCTCAGCAGGTCAGGGAAAGAATGGAACAGATCAGAGAAAACAAACAACCTTGAGAAGCAGAACAGACCAATCTCGACTTCTTCTTCAGTCATGGGGCTGGGAAAAAAGACTTTCTAATACCTTAGGGTCATCTCAACCACAGAAACCTGAAAAAATTCCATGTAAATGATTGAAACTCCCCAGGCTCTGGAGAGGGATTCAGGCTGGAGCACATCCAGAGGGTTGGGAGGAATTGTCACAGCAGAGCAGAGCAAACGTGACTGGTTGAGGCACCCAAAATAAGGCTGGGTAGGGGAAGGGAGGGAGCAGTAGCACAGCTTGTAATAAATAACAGTGCTGAGGATAAATACCAGGGAGGAATAAAAATAATTTTCTTAGAGAATAAATTACAGCAATTTGGTGGCAAATAAATTCAAAAGAGAGTTTTTAAATGTCAATGTTGTGTGTGGTGGTAGCAGCCATCAGAGAGTAAGCACAGAAATATCTGAACCTTTTAAAGGTGGAATTTATGGTGTGTTTGGTAAATTTCTGGGAAGCTGGTATGAAAGGGGTGTCTGAATGCACAGGCAGCTGGGCTTGGCCCCATCCAGCTTTTTGCTCCTGTGTGAGAGTCAGAGCAGTGAATGTACAGCTTTGTGTAGCTTTGCACCCTTACCTGAGAGCTGAACCACCTCCTTACTCTAGAGTATTTCCATTTATTAATGTCCTCTTTATTCCTTTATAATCCACAACATGAGGGGGGTTGGGGCAGCTGCTCACCTCCAGCTGTTTTAATTGAAAAGTATTAAATCCATCTACAAACCTTTGGGAGCATTTCAGAGGAAGGAGTAAAACATGACCTAGGACTCCTTATCCCCAGCACCAAATAAACCCCATTGAGAGGCCAAGCGTGTAAATTGTTTGTCTAAACCCCGTGGCCCTTCCATATTGACTTTCTTTGCTAAATATTAAAGGGCAAAAGGCTGTTTTGGGCTTTCCTGGAACTCCAACAATCTGAGCTGCCAGCACAAGGAAGAGAATTGCCCTGTGCTGGGAGCACAATAAACACAAATAAGCAGGTGGGTGTTCTCTAAGGAGGATACTCCAGGAGTGAGTGCCTGCAGGGCTTGGTGCCGCTGAGCCAGAGGAGGGCAGAGGCCCTGGATGCAGCTGGAGGCCTCTGTGAGAGAAATTGTGATGTGTCTGTGCACCAATCACTTGGGCCTGGTGTCCTCAAAAAATCTGTATCTCAGAGTTTGTGTGACTTTAAATGTGTTTGATGGAATTCATCTCACTCTGGGGACTTAAGGACATATAGAAGGCAGCCAAGACCCAGAGTAACACTTTTGGTGCATGCTGTAAGTGAGGAACTTCTGTTCTTGATAGAATTTCTGTTCAGCTTCTGCTGTGCTGTGTTATAAATACCCAGCTCCCTCCTGTACATGCATGAGATGTCAGCACTGTGGTACAGGGGCAGCTGGCTGCTCATGGACATCCCGGTTCCTTGGCTTCCACAGGCCAGAGAAGAAACTGCTGGGCTCAGTGCAGCACTCCCAGATAACCTCAGCTCCTTCACTGGAACCAGGCTGGGGTGCTCTGGGAAAGTTTCATCTCAGTTTTGTGTCCATTCATTTTTAAAAATACTTTTTGATAAAATTGTACCTTTTGTTTTCCTATTGACTTGAACTCCCTGAGGTTTAACTTTGCAGTTTATACACCTCAGTTCCATTTCTTCTTTCATGTGGTCTCAAGAGGTCATTCCCAACTGGCTGCATCCTGTTGGAACCCTGAATGCTGAGAATTTAAAAATGTTTGTGCTTTAAGGCACAGACCCTCAAGAGAGAGCTGCATTTGACCTGAGGCTGTGGAGAAGACTTTAAAAATTGATTGATAGCACTGAGATTAGGGGTGTGTAGTTGAATAGAAGTGTTTAATATCACAGGGTGGAAAACTTGGAGTTTGGAATTTTAGAATATAGAAATAAATATGAAGCAAGATTGAAGTTTTAAGGCAGATGCAAGTCATTCTTCTTAACCACCTTCTTCCTTCTTCTCCATGGTTTTAGGTGATATTTTGTAATTGGACAGAAAAGTCCACATTGCAGGCTTTGAGAGATCAGTTATTGGGTTAAAAGAGAAAATAATCTAGGTGTCATTTCTGAATTGGATAGTTTAGTCTTAAAAGACCTTGTACCAAGAGATTGTTGGCCATTTTGTGCCTTGCTAATGAAAGGCTGCAAAACTTATAGCTGTGAGGCTGCTTCACTGATAAGAAATGATAAACACCTGAGTCCAAACATGAACTGCAATCTCAAATACCTTCAACCCCAACCTCCAGAACCTGCAGGATCCCAGGATGGTTTGGGTTGGAGGGGACCTTAGAGATCCTGCCATTCCCAGCCCTCTCTGTGGGCAGTGACACCTTCCCCTGGACCAGAAGTGATCCTGGAAGAGCTCCCAGCTCGTGTGGGTGTCTGCCAAAGCTGAGCTGCACATTCCTGCTGCCTCTGCTGCCACTCATGCCCAAGTGCCCAGTCCATCTCTGGGTGTCAAGCTGGCTGTGTGTGGGACTGTCAGGTCTCTTTCTCTCTCTAACATCATCTTCTTGTCTTTGTTCCTTGCACCCTGAAGTTCCCCCCACGTTCCTGAAGCGCCCTGCCAACATCTACGCGCACGAGTCCATGGACATCGTGTTTGAGTGCGAGGTGACCGGGAAGCCAACGCCGACCGTCAAGTGGGTCAAGAACGGGGACGTGGTGATCCCCAGCGACTACTTCAAAATCGTGGTGAGTGCTCTGCCCATCCTGCATGTGTT